CGCGGTAGCGTGGGCGCCGGGGCGGCACCCAAAGGCGCTCGGCCACACAAAAGCTGAGCCAGCCACTGGATCTGAGCACGGAGTGTAACAACTTCCATTTCCAACGACGCAAGGCGCTCCACCGTCGCACGAAGTGACGTATTCGCCTGCTCGACGGCTAGAAGCCGCTCCGACAGAGTACGATAATCCTCAACTCGAAGCAGTCGATGAACAAAGTGCTCCCGGTTCTCGAGGTCTACCGCACAGCGGTAGGCGACCTTGCCGATGAGGACGGGCTTTGTCCTCCAACGCTCGAACAGCATTATGAGTCACCGGGCGGCGATCGACCACGTTGTCATCGCTCACCGCCGACTCTTCACGATGAGAATGGTGGCGTCCACTACCATATAGAACGACTTGTGGGTTGACATCGTCAACCGATTTTAAACCAATAACTTGTGAAGTGGCGGAAATACTCAATTCCGAGAACTTGTGGAAGTTAGAGGTACCGCTTTGTCTAGACTGCCCAGACATCGTAGAAGCTTCGGTTCAAAAGGATAATGTCGCTTTGCGTCGTCGTGCGCTTCGCGCTTCTCGGCATTAGCCCGAAAAGCCGGAGGGCTATGAGCTGAGCTCAAGCTATGTCCCTGAGCCACTGTGGCCGTAGCCTCACCCATGTGAGAAACAACAGAGTTCGCAGGAGCGTGATCGATTGTTCAACATGCCGCAAGGCGACAATACACAGGAAGTCGGCGTTGCGCCTTGAGTTTGGCAAACTCAAGTCGAAGATGAAGCCCTACGCGCACATCTACTTCCTTGTCGCTTCGCTGTAAGGTAGACAGCGAGGAAATTTGCCTTGCCGCTGCACCCATCGCTTGAGGAGCTTATCATTATCTGCAGCGGTTTCACCAGGGGCGAGCACCACAGGGATGGTCCGTATTGCGGGTACAGGAGCGTCTCCCTTTGGAGCTCGAAGCCGAGCGTGGTTCCGATTCATTGGGATTTCTTGTGGTACCAAGAAGCGAGCTCGGAGAGCTTTCCGCTGGTCAAGATCAGCGTGTTTAGTGGTCGGGGACCAACTACGTAGACGCTTAATTATTGAATGATCGCGTCTTTCGCTTGAGTAGTGGAATCCGCTGAGCGGCAGCCGCATTTTACACCAAGGTCTAGGACCGAACGTGGATACGAGTGCATGAGAGATGTCCTGTGGGCAGCCTCAAACCGCCGCTTCTGTGTCTGGCTGAGGTGATTGGTATTAATACCACTTCCCCGAGAGGTCAGGGGATGGACATGGTATCCGCAAGTTTTGAGCTGGGCTCACATCCATCCGCTGGCGCACCACATCCCCCTCGTCTTCCCATGCCGGAAAAGGAGTATCCGACTCGTAGTCGACTTCCTCAGACTCCTCGACTAAAAATCCGTCGCCCGGGGCGGGCGCGGTGTATTGCGCTCGATTGCCGAGGGTTTGGGATGGCTTCTCGTGATGCTGCGGACGTATTGTCCGGAGATGCATCCTGTGCAGAAGAAGAGGAAGGACTTTGCCCGCGGGCCTCCTCGGAACCAGATAGGCTGGGTATTTTGCGTGTCGTTGACACAGGGCTCATAGAGCGGGTAAATGTTTATAGTCGATCTTAAAAGAACGTGTGAAGGTGTCTCAGACACGCGAACATCGTATGAGGCAAACGATAAATGTGAATTGAGAAAATTCACACATTAATGGGGGAGTGTCACGGGGTTACACATACCCTTGCAAGAAAGGGCAGATCGCACAAGATAATGTGACCGTTCATAGGTGTGGGTTACACAAGTTGGTGTAACGACAGTGGTGCGGCTACACCGAAACAAGAAGCCCCCACGTGGCAGGATTACCAGTAGTAATGTATGTTACTATATTAAGTAGGTCTTACAAAATTAATTAGTTCACAAAAGTGATTAGGTTTCGCTATATTAATTAGGTATGACTATATTAGTTAAAAAACAAAAGGTTTTATATTTTGACGGCTCTGCCGCAAATATAACAATTTAATTGTTTTAATTTTGACCAGAAGAGTCCACTTACCTGGGTTAAGGTCTTAAGTACTCTTGGAGGCAGCGGGTTGCGATCCGCTGCATTCGTACTGGATCTTGTCAAGAACTTAAGGTCGGGGACTTTAGCTTAGCTACCTCTAACCAAAGAGCTACGGTAGCCCCGCAGTATTTGCAAAAGCTAGTACATACTGACATGTCTCGTTTCGATTGTACAAAAACCTCTTTCTCGGTGTGGCTGGGTATGGTTTTGTTGTTTATCTTCCGTGATTATGCTTAAATTCTGATCATTTGATCAAGGCCATAATTCTCGAGCGCGAGGTTATAGTAGACAAAGTAAATTCAGCTGATCGTGAGCAAAGTAGGTTTGTAAAGATACTTGATGGTTGGGAGGTAGTTTGAGAAGTGAGATTGAAATGCTTAAGACTACTTTCGTCCTACTCATATGTACCCTCTGAAGGTCTTCATTCACAATTACGTTGATAGTCTTCCTCTTGCGTGCGACTGGATCGTTACTGAACTGTTTTCTTTCATACTGATGCTTCTTTTTGGTGGACACTACGTCTAGTGTTGCACCAGCTGAATTCCTGGCCTAGTTTTAAATACTCATAAGCGCGCAATCATTTCTACTTGCGGTAGTAATCATCGACATTTTAATATGCCACATTTGGACACATGTGTGCTACCCTTGAGTCATCGCCCTTACATCATCCCTTACATCCTCCCACGATTGACTTTGAGTCGGAGCTGTCCATAGTCTCTGACGAGAAGTCACCAATTTGATGTTGTCTTTGTTTACCAAAGTAGCTTCTTTTGCAAGATATCCACCCACTATTACCTTCATTGTTGGTTGGCGGCGATGGAGCAGTTTCTCGAAACATGACATGCTGTTGTGTGTATTTTCGTCTATATAAGCGCATGAGGCTTTTGAAATAGCTCAGGTTCCCAAGCGATTATAGTGTCACACATAGTTCGATAAGATATCTGCGTTGAAAGTCAGTTTGATCTCCTTCATGCGAGCGGAGAGCTCTAGCTTAGTGGTGATGTCGTTTATCATCTTCGTAATCCAAACAACTTAATATTTCCTTGCAGTTTAGTTCTCTTCATCTCCATATCTTGTGCTGCTTGCTGCAGCGATAAGCGACGAGTGTAATAGGTCAGGTTCCTTTGAATATATTGTGTGGACCTCTTTTTGTGTGTCTCACTTAAATTGTAAATCATGTATCGTTGTCTTTCCCCTTCCAGCTCAGTTGCACCAGAGCTGGAAGTACTTATCAGGTTAAGGAGCTTAAGATCTTATTGGCTATAAAAGTAAATGCCAATTCAACTTTCCGCTCTTCTAAGTAAGTCAATGACCCGCTGGAAGTGAGCAACACGCGGTGAGGCGTATCAGTTGACCTAAGTCTTCCTCGGAATCACGGACGGGTATCTCCCGTTACAACGTGTGTCAAGCATCAGAAAATCACCAACCTTTCATGTCACATTGCTAAGCTTTTGATCGCAATAATGTCTGATTAGCACAACTGTTTCTGGCTCTTTCAATCGTTTGTCGTGAAGTTTTTGCAATTTTATCAATGTCAGTTGCTCGGTTGTTATTTTTGAACTGGCTAGTGCTGATAGTCCAAGCATATACTAGCTTCTTTTGGCCAATGTCGAAAGCAAACGGCGAAAGTCCAGTTGATGCACTTCGCAATGTTACGTGAGCGAACTAATCGTAGACAGCTTTATGACTTGCTACAATGTCAGAGATTGAAGCACATTTTCCAAGGTAGGCTTTGTCGTATAGTTCAACCATCAGCTCGGGCTCGATACAGTGTGGCCATGCTCAACTTGATTACATAAGTTTTGTCAAAGAACGTTCTATGTCGCCTATGACCACAACTGGCCTACAATGTTAATATCGAAAATGCCATGAGAAATGTTCTCGGCGTTGTCTGTGGTCTATACAGCGGCATAAGTTATCGACAGCAGTGATATCGTATCGCATCCGTTTGACTCTGGAAATCCGGTGATGAATTCCGTCGATATCACCTCCCCGTATTCTTATGGAACCAGATGAGAATTATCTTGCCGTTCATCGTTGTGTTTTTGTGCTTCCATCTTGTACAAGTTTCGAAGCCGCTGGACTGACGTAATTGTGAATATTCTTTTCCATACTCGTTCAAAAAACAATTGAGCGATTTGGAGAAATGTGTGGGCAATCTCTGGGTCCGCTGCCGTAGCTGAGTCATAAAAAATCGTTATGATGGTTGTGCGAAGTTGGCTATCGTCCGACGCACATTGACATAGTTTACAATTTTGCGTTCGGCGACGAAAATTTCATCTCTCTTTACAAACTTATCTGATTTATCATTATTCTCCCATTCACCACGAAGCTTCTCATCTTCCTTGTATGCGCTAAAGAATAATTTGCGCCCGGCAGTTGCCAGCCATATAGGGCTTTTTGACGCAGTCATGTCGGAATAAATTTGAGGCACAAATCCTACTCCAGCAAATATGTTTGACATGACCGTGGTTTGAAAGTTGTGGACGAGCGCGCCAGAGCAATTAGCCTCAGTCTTGCTGAGAGAGACGAAAAAGATATATTACTTTCTGACCGGCTCAGCGGTATAAACAATGTTTTATCTATGCCAAGATTGAATATCCACGCCTTGTGTGGTCCTTTCGCACTCAGTCAAAGAGTTTTCATTTAAGGCCCTACAACCCTGCACGTCCAAGAAACCGTTGCACCTCCTTTTGATTTGTTAAAGTTGGCCATTGTGCAATCGTGTCTATTTTCTTTGTGTCGGCCTTAAATCCTTGCGCGGGAGTTGTGTGTCCGAGAAAGTTTACAGAAGGTGCAACAAAATTGCAGCGGGGCTGCGGCTGCGCTTTGCTTTGAGAAAGCTAAGCTAAGTTGCTAATCTAAGGTCACCGACCTTACGTTCTTTACAAGACCCAGTACGTTTGTAGCGGATCGCAATCCGCCACCTCCAAGAGTACTTAAAACCTTCACCATGATAAAGACGCTATTATGTTCAAAATTGAAACTGTATTAAATTGTTTTATTTGCGGCAGAGACTTCTATATCTAAAACCTTAGGTTTTCCTATCAATATATTCACACCTAATTGATAGTAAACCCAACTTAATATGCATAGTTTTTGCGAGTCCTGACTTTTTGAACACTCGTATGAGTTGCGGCCAAACACTAGTAATCATTGCTTCACCTATACGAACGACTCATCATTGATAGGTTTCAAAGTGAGCACGGAATGTTGTATACGTCGTGATTGCGGCGAGAAATGCATTTGAAAGGGGACTTATGCAAGATGGAACATTGAGAAGATAGTGCACGTTGCCCAGTCCAAGCTTTGTTTAATTTTTGTCGACGAAGATATCTTGTCCATATTGTTCTGTCTTAAAAAGTCAAGCCCAGCAATGCTATAGCTAGCATATTCGGACAGCCATCGGTTGGTATTTTTTGCAGAATCTTGGTAACTACTGAGTCGACTTGACAATTCTGACGCTTAAAACTTCAATCGCTGGGACGGCGTCTTCTATTAGATTAAACCATACGTAATGTGTGCGGTAATTGATTCTCGGGCTGTGCCAATGTAGAAAGGCGTACATGGGATTAGATCCTGTGCTTTACCCATGTTCCACTTTGACACATTGATTTTTTTAGACTTGAAAAAGGACGACGTCAGGTAGAGCCCATTTTCTGTGGTTTTGCATCCGGTTGCCGTAAGTTTTTACACAAAAAAGCTTTGGCTCGAAGTGTCCGCTCTAACAAGCGCACAGATGTCGGGTTCATTTGCCCCACCTAGAGCGAAGACGAGAGCTTTCGAGGTACCAATTACCTGCTTTTTTAAAAATTCTTATATTAGTAAAAATTAACCGTTTCGACAAATAATCAATACATACTTCTTTGGTATCCCATAGTTATGTAGTCTTCGTTATATGAGTCGTGCGGCTAGACTCCACAGATCTCGTCTTCGGCTCGTCATCTTTCAAGCAAAGATGCATCGATATCGACGTATCTGTATTTATGAAGACAATGGAACTCCGAAGAGGAAGGATCTGGGGTACATGTGTACAACTGGTCACACGTCAAGTGAAAATCACAGTCAATAGTAAAGCGTACATACGTAGTATAAGTCTAGGTGGCATAAATTCTTGATGTCGGTATCATAGAAATATCAGAGCTTATATTTCTGAAACGCTTTTTTGGAATCTACAGTTTTATATTCAATAGAAATAGCTGACGCTAATTTCTGGAGAGTGTCCTGTTTTCGCTGCTGATAGAAGCACTCGATGTATTTCAACCGTGGACTCGTCGAGTTATAACTTCTTCTGTGCAAAGCATACGGCAACTCAAATGCACATTTTAGCACCTACATTCGATCCCACGACCGTTTCAAAAAAGGACTGCATCTTCTTCGAAGATGAAATGAGCACCTGCATCCGGAACAAGACAGTTGAATAGGCTCATGTCTATCGTTGATCTAGAGGGGGTCACAGAAGTAGCGGCCAAAGTCTCGAAGGCAAAAACTGACAGACCGGGAGCTCACCACCTTTAATAATGGTGACACACATCCTAGAGCTCCCAACCGTGCGCAGATGGGAAAAAGAGGGTTCTTACCGGGCGGCCGCTGATGCTGAAGGTTCATGTCGTTTAGGGTCGCAGCGGAGAAAGCATTTTTTGTAAAGCGATAGTTGAGATGACTAAGTACTCGGCCATTCTTCAGACGGTGCAACAGCGAGCCGCGTTTGTGGTCTCCGACTTAAGAGGCCACGCACGAGAAAGCACATCCCGGAGGCGTCAATAGCTACCATCTCTTGCAGAATCTTTCACCTTCCACTCTATCTCTTTTGATGATGCAGTGGACTTTGCATTCAATGCCGAGTACATCTTTCGTACTGCATGAACCGATCAATAGTAATGAAAGTGAACGTTCATGAGCACGCCAAAGAAGATTCGCCTCAGTCGTGGCGAGGAATACGATTGAGACTAATTATCGTCTGACCAACCTGCTGTGCTTATAATGCTCTGTGTTAACATTTAGTATTCGCACCTTGCGTGTTCCCTTCGCTCTCAGATGAGGGGTTTGACGGATCGGGCTCCCACACAAGGCGGCTGACAAACACCTCATGAGTTATCATCTCGTATTAGTATGCGTAGAGTAGTCTGAGGAGAAATATTTTTTTGAAATTTACTTCGCAGAGACTGTGTTCAATGAGACCTAGCCCTAGAGACGTTCTTTTGGAGAGATTAGATTTACAACCCAGGTATCAATGTCCCGAGATTATGACATCGGCGAAAATTCTGATGAACTGAGGGCCGTTGCACCACGCGCGATATCAGTAACCAGAACTCGGAGGCATCAAATATGCCAAACACTTATACGATGTCTGTGCGTCTTGCAATAGGAAAACTGGTGATAGATTTATTGGTCATGTTATACCACCTGTGAAGTTTGTGGCTTTGACAGTGTGAAGTGTTGACTCGTCCTGAATCTAAATTCGATATTTGATTATAAGCTACGTATGGTGTGGCTACTACACCACGAGCCATTGGTCGACTAGAAGTCAAAAAAGTTATATGGCACGTTTGAGCTTCATGAAAATATATACCCACCTTAAACAGAAAGCAGAAGCGCTTGTGGCGCGGGCATGAAGCCGCGAAATATGAAGGTCAGAGGATGAGATTGGCCAAAAATTATAGCAATGGTAGTGCTAGGTGCCTCGAGCAGAAGTCGAAAGGCAGAAACGGCCGTGTGTCGCGGTCTAAAGGTGATATAGAAAAGAACGATTTTAATGTCGCAGTATTTAAAGTATTTCTCTGTAAAGACATGAGGGGGCGACTGTATGTCGCGGTTTTCACCAAGATTTAATGGCAGGACGGTAGCAAATAGCTGTTGTTATTTATGTCTGGGTCACACAATCTCCGTGGCCAGAGCCGGTAAAGTTGAAAGGCGACTAGTTTAAAAACCAGGCTGTGAAGACAATATTGTAGCCTTTTCAAGATATGAGGACACTGCTGAGTCTGCATTACATTTTTATGGGTCCACCGTCTTGAGCAGCGAAGCTCTAACATAAGATAGCGAAAGGATTATCAACTCGTGGACGTATTGGCCGAAAGAGATCCGAGAGATTTTACGTCCCAACTCACCAATGTGTTCAAGATACAGATAGAGCTTGAGGATCGGGACCGGTAAGGATTGGCACGCATGGGGTTGATATGATAGACCTGACTACTTCGTTAAACCAATCAACGTTCAAGCGCAAGTCAAGGAAGGCACTTGCGATAATCTGTTTTGCCATGGATGACTCACAGCTATTGCTTGCGCGCTCGACTAAAAACGCGATTTATGCATCGTCCCAGCAGGAAGACCACTTTGCTGAGGGCTATACGGATGGAACGTTGGTGGACGACAACGCTCTGACGACATATGTCGACCAACCTTTTGTTCACAAAGTCTGTACCGTTGTCAGAACTCAAGCATTTGAGATGAGCAACCCATTGATTTTCATTAAACGCCTTGAATTCCTTGAACTTGTTAGATACGTCATTTTTTTATTTTTTATTTTTGCTCCTGATCATGAATATTGCGACAAAGCGTAAAACTTTCCTCAGAAAAGAGAAATCATTTTGCACATCCCTTCGACGGAGTCTGCATTGAACCCATTATATCTATGGATTACGCACTTCGAGACGAAAAGCCTAGCGTACAAGCTCTTTATTTGACGTCGTTCCTTTAACCAGGAAAGATGAATGTGATGATTTGCTCACGCAAATGAGCTATAGAAAACTCTGGCAAAGCAGCTCGATGCGCTCGAGTCACTGAAGATGACATGCTTAGTAACTTTCCTGTGAATCTCAGCGAGTCGTACGCAATTCCCATCAAAACTTCGCTTTTTCCAAAGCTCGAGATGT